ATTGAGTCTAGAGCATGTCTCTTACGAACACACTCATGTTTAACGATTATTTCCTAGCTATCTGTCCAAAATCCATATAATTATCACTCATGTATTTAAATTTTATTTTGATAACCATTCATGTGTATTAGTAGTATTACTAAATTCTATCACGGTCAAGTAAAAATGAGGTTGAGAAAATCTCCCCGAAACTAAATAAACCGTATCAAACTAACTGGAACACTAGTTGGAATTCTTCTCCACGGTATACTTTTGTTCCTTCAGTTAGCCTACTAATACAGATGCAATTGGAAATCAATTCATATGGACAACTTACCGGCATAATCGTTATCTGATTTCATAATTTAAACCAAAACTAATACCCATATTAATATTTCTACAACATTTATTACTTTAATACTTCTAAACACAAAATACTTACTACCTATACGTTAAGTTATTAACCAACGACTATTAGCACGCATCGTTTTATTATTATTATTATTGTTATGCCATTCTTTATAGTTCAAATAATCTTCACCCAAATTTTCATTTCAAGCGTTTTAAGCATGAAGACAGATATTTTAAAATTATTACATGTATTTCCCGACCAGATGCTGCTGCTTTCTTTTTGATTTATCTTTCAGCTTACCAATACCCGGAGGATTCTTATTATCCTTGGTAACCTCCGGCGCGCGACGATCCCATCCAATTTGGTATCGAACTAACATCACGTTGTTTCTGGTGGGAGAGTAGTGTAGTGGCATTGAACAATAGTCACACAATCTACAAAGCTGTGAACACGAGACTACTCAGAAAATAGATATTCAATATTTAACGCGGAGAAATACCTAACAATGGAGAAGGAGCGAACAAAGAATTGAATGGACTGGGTTTGATTGGATGGCATGGCTCGTCCATGCAGGCGTGGTCCATCTCAATGTTACTTTATATCTTCTATTCATATTAAATATATTGTTCTTTCTCTAGCCTAAGCTTGTTCTACATCATGTATTGGTAATTGATACGATACAGTGAGTTGGCGTAGTCGATGGTGTGACTTCCACGTAAGATCTTATAGATTAGGCAGTTATATCATGACAAATCTACAAATTTAGGATTAGGTCTATTATTAGAGCAGTACTAATATCATAGTAGACCATAATTCTACAAAACTACAACCTAGCTCAGAAGTCTCCTTGATGATTTTCTTTCTGAAAGTGGATTGTGTCACCTACTAAATATCAGTGCGTTTAATAATGATTTATACACACAAGGTCCGTCATCCATCTAATTGACTGAAAAGCAAAGTGTAACCTATGAAACTTTTCACGCCTATTTTATTTTCTTTCTGTTCATCCTAATATATGAAATCTGCCAATGTTCATATTTGTAATTATTACTATTATTATTATCATGATTGGTCCATCAACTCATTAGATATTTTTTTCATCTCTTTTTTTCTTTCTATACATGTTTTATTCCTAAACATCGAAAGTCTATAGCCAGAAACAAGTTATCTTACTTTACATTTAAATAAATTAACTCATCAGATTCATTTCATCTTCACCACATGTATAACACATAGAAATTTATATCTGATTATCCTTTGCAATTAATTGTGACTTTCATAGCATCATTTTAAATTATTATTTCACAAACATTTATACTAATATCAAATTTTACTGTGTATCCTAATACATAAATGTACATGTGTTTACCTGATTGGACTTAAAATTTTTTTTAAAAATCAATGCTTCGTTTCGGAGTTCGATATTCATTACTCTCTTATTATTATGGTTAAAGCCCTTCACCAGGTGCTCATTTCTATTCTCTCTCTTCCTTCTAAATAAATATTATTCTTAAGATTCCGAAGTTTGTAATTAAGACAATAACTTGTGTTACACTTAAATTAACTTATTAGACTCGTTTTATCTTCACTATGCATATATGACTCATGAATATTGATATTTCGTTATCGTTTTCACTTAATTGAGACTTTCATAGCATCACTCCAAATGATGACTGCACAAACATTTATTCTGACGTCATATCATACTGCAATAATAAGTTATTTACTATGTTTAATTTCATTTTCGTTACCCATTTGGCAATACATACATAGTCGTTCATTCTTGTTCTGTGCTCACAAACACGCTTATTAGACAATTCACGTATTTCGCATCTCCTTTATTTCTACTCCCTTATTTTCTACTTTTTACTCACTATTATTCTCAATTATACCGAGACTGATTTATTATTATTCTATCATTATAACACTATTATCACTATTTTCCTTCTTTTTCTCTCTTTTTCAAATATGGCAAATGTAATGCTAACGTAGTTGAAATTTGTGTTATGGAATTGGGCCCTGACCATTGTTCTCTCTCCAGCCTGTATGTGTTCTCCGTCATATATTGGTAATTGTTGCAACACGGTGATTCAGTGTAGACAATGATGTCACTTCCATGTGAGATCTTATAGACTAGGCAGTTATAACATGATAAATTTGAAATTCTAGGATTAGGTCTATTATTAGAGCAGTTCTGATAACGAAGTAGACTATAATTCTACATGGTTTCTTCGCAACACTTATATACCCAAAAGATGTTCGTGAGTAATAATATGAAGCTTTTAGTCAGACATTCGAAAGCTACAATAGTAACTCAACTGTCCTTCACACTGCTTGATAGGCGTTATTTTTTTTTATTTATTTAATGGATTTATTCAATAATATATTTTGGTACAATATAGAATTCTCAGCACAGAGTATTTCAAAAAGTTTCTTACGCAAAAAAACAGAAACCAAGAGAAAAAAAAGGAAAAAAGGGTCTAAAAAAATCTGAAAAACTGTACAACTTTTCAAATTAGAAACATGTTAAGAATGCAGGTTGTTGACTAGGTTAACTCTAACAACCTGTTCGTCACAGAGTATATTTGCTAGGTAAGACATTATAGAACTTTTATACTTTTGCTTGCGTGCATGGATTTTAATGTTTTAAGTCTCGTTCTACCGGAAGATATACAAGGACGAAGATGGATTTGATCGGGTTGACACGTTTCAATTATAAAAGTTGTTACTGGTTAAGGTGTTGTCAAATTCCGAATACTTGTGACATCTAGTACTGAATTCCTGAAGATTTTTATAAGATTTTATATCAATTATCTTCACTAACTCACAGAGCGTTTGTCGAAAATGGCTCCACATCGGATGAGCTTATGACTTGACATTTCAGATGCAGACTGTAAGATCCATTTTGAAGGTTTTGTGTGTTGGTGAAATTCTCTCCATGTATATACTTGTACTTTGTTCCTATTGATCACATTAGTTGTACATTGTTGTATTTTGATTACATTTGAATTGTTAATACTTGTATTTTTTTATTATAGTTTTTGGTTTTCTTACGCATTCACTAAGTTTGTGTTTCTTCCTGAACTGCATCTGTGTTGTTTTACTTGACACTTGTTCTTGGCGGTAGTCATATTGATTTGCTCCTTCTTTTGTGTGTGTTCTATCCAGTCAGGATTGAATAACGTTCATTTGTTGTGACTGGTAATTTTCCCTCATCTATCAACTTCTTTATTTATTGTAATTTAGATTTGATTGATTGAACAATTATTGGTTGTATAGCCGGGTGGTAATATTTGTTTAGGTAACGATTTACATTTAAATTTATGATGAATTATAGAACCGCTATTTACCCGATTACTTGTTTTGATTTCGACGGGAAAGGGCGCGTGTCTAAAGTCCCCGATCGGCTATTCTTCTATCCAAACCGTAGTTTGGATTCTACACAGACATCCCATCAGTGATTTATTACGAGATAAAATACAAAGGATCTACACTATTTAAGAGTAGAACGCCTTATTGTATAGTTAGATCTATAACTCCATTCTATAATTTGAGCCGGAATAGATCGTTTAAACGTTTTGTAAATTTTAAGACACGAACCAAAATCTATGGAAAATTATGTAAGAAATTGTAGGTCCAGTGAAATGTCACTGAGCCCTAGCCAAATCATCCGGTATTTGGGTCACTGAATATTAAACAGATCATCGATCTCTGATCAAGGTCAAGGACAACCAACGTGCATCAATTGATCGTACGCCATGGCTGGCTCATGCAGTGCTGATCTAGCCTTCTACTCTGCACTCATTCTTAATAGTACATTTCCATATTAACGTCCTTTGTGTTCTACGTTCTTCAGAGCAGCCATAGTACATTGATACGTCGGAGGGGTAATCCACGTTAAGTACTGAACGCGAGATGTGATCTCGAAGTTGGCTGGTTCGTCTTACCATTCCCGTTTAACTCGAGTAGGCCTCCAATCATTCGACATAGATCATCAAGGTTTTTGATCTACAAAATCACAACTGAAGTCATAATCGCTGGTATAATAATAACGCTAGTACCATTTCTACAAACTAGGCATTTTTAAAATAAGCACTAATAAACCCTGATTATATAATTTCCTCTATCCAAACTGTAAGTTTGTGGTTTATGCCGTCAGGGTTTGTTAGACAAGTGTATCTCCAGAGAATTCGAATTTAACAAGACTACTTGCTCATAAAGGCAAAGATGTATAAACAACTGGCCCGCATATGCACTATGACCCACGAATAATCTCACAGACCTTGGCAAGTCATGAAAATAGTAATGTCGCCCACCTACACGAAATACATCACTCCTGTTTTTCAGACTAGTAAAAAATGACTGATCTTACTGCAAACAAAGGATGTCATAGTATGTCCGATAACACACAAAATCATTTTTATTCCTGACCCCACAATGCAGTAATGTGGTAGTTTTGAAGAGTTAACAGAGTAACTTGTTAGTAGCGTACTTTAAGTCTGTAGTATAGCATTTAAGAAATGTGACGTACTGAAACAAGTAGAGGTGAGCCATCTAAAGTAAAATTACCCATATCATTCACTCAAATAAACAGATCCAACCTGATTTTCAATTATTAACTCCTTATAGTTTTTGACTCATACGTAAGTAGAATTGAGAATTGGTATATCTGGCGCACAGCTTGCATATTGCGTTACTATGATTCGGAAGCGTGTTGCGTATATTGCGAAAGTAAAAGGTTTCAGTCGTGAAGTGAAAATTGTAATTAAGTGATCGGCATATCTAACAGTTTTCAGAAAGATGTCAAACGGTTTTTCAGACCGATTAGGATAAAAGACTTCAGGGTTCTGAAAAATGGTGCACATGTGTTTTTTCTTCAACATTTATTTGAATAGGCATCGGTTTGGTGTTTTTTAAGAATCACCAGGACTTGAATGAAGCACTCAAAAAGAAGGGCGACATAGGTGGAAGGGCAGTCAAGATTGAGGAACACATCCAAGAAGAGAATGAAACGTCTTATGTACAAGAACCTGATCTACCTAAGTGGTTAGTTAAGACAAGTGACGAAATAGTATCTGCAATATTAGAGGTGTGTTTTGCCACTTTTTTATTGCATTCTAGACCGGCCGGTTATTTGTCCGTAATCTGTCTTATGCCTGCACTGAACAAGACCTTGAAAAGTTATTTTCTGTTCATGGTTAGTCCCTATTGAATCGGACTATCATATATTTCTAGGATCCCTATCAGACATTCACTTAGCTTTCGACCATTGGTCTCAAGTGTCCAAGGGGTTTGCGTTCATCACTTTCCTGTTCCCATCTGACGCTGTGAAAGCCTACAAATCACTAGATAAAACAAAGTTTATGGTGAGTAGTTCGGTATACTTATTATACTTTTTACATAATTTTAAAAATGCTTAAGCGTTGTTCGTTTTCTTAACACGATTCTTTCGCGATCGATTTCCACATGTATGGTAACAATATATCACTGCAGTTAACTTCCTCTGGAGTTTTGTAGATACCAAATATTAAAATATATGATGGGTTTAAAAAACTCTGTTCGTCAAAAATATCTGGTGCTTTACCAAAATCATAAATGGCTACCACTGGCCTGCAATGTTTGCCAAATATTCAAGTTCTAACTTGCAGCGACCTTTCGAATGAATGCAATCTAGTAAATACAGGTCAGTCAACTTAGAACCTGGTGTGTATGTACATCGGTTCACGTTACCATACCTCATTAGCACAGAGAGATAAAGTTGTCAGGCCAAATTCCAGTATAGTACAGGTAGTCACAGTATCAGTGGTAATAGTAAAAGTTTAGGATGGAAGATACTTTTCGAAAAGAAGATACAAATTCGTGGAGCAAAAAACAAAGAGAGGGTGTAAGGAATTAAAAACCTCAGAATTCGAGGGAAGACAAAGAATGGTTGCGCGTGCGCCACTGCAAACGATTATCGGCCATGTCGTTCAAGGTCGCTAGCCATTGGTCACGATAGTTACGCGAACCTCAACCGGGTAGTCTATGCCTACTAACATGGCTAAGTCCAATTGTCAATGACTTCAGTGACTGGTGCCATGTCTTGGTTTGGCCGCCCTTAGCTTTCGTCCAGCCTACTCGTGTATCAGAAAAATCATCGCTCGTCAAGACAGGTGGTGGTTGAGTATACGTAACACATATCCAAACCACCTCAGCTGATGAATACCTACTATCTCATCAATCGACTTCCCATCCTTGTACCTAGTACTCTATTCCCAACTCAGACATTACTCACTCTGTAGTCACAAAATACACGAGCAATGCTTCGTAGACACCTACGATTGAATATCAGTAACCTACGAATATCCGCTATTCTTAATGGTCATGTTTCACATCCAGAAAGTAGGACGGAGTGAACTGCTGCTCAGTAAAGTCGCCCTTTGGTTGAAAGATAGATATCTCACCTGCACCACAAGTGACGCAAGTTGGCAAAAGCCAATCGAACCTTCAGAATCCATGTCGAGATTTCGTCAGATATCAGACCATCAATACTGATGAGACGATGCGTTTAGCTACTTCACTATCTATCATTAATTCAGGTGATGACGCAAGCCAAGTGTGAAGTAACATTTTCCATTTGGAGGAAGATAACCGCACCCCAAACATAGTTGGATTGTTGTTTAAGGTGGTCACAAGTTCTCATTTTGTCAGCATTTCATCAACAGAACTATATCATCTGTGTATTCTGAGTACTCGGTGTTGGTTTGAGTGTTAGTGGTATTAACCTTCCACCCAAACCAAAGTAGAACAGGTCTTGATCATTAACCGAAAAATTTTACTACTAAGCCGTTAATCTAAGAAAACAACTACGTAGGTATTTATACATAGTATGTCAAGTGCTTCCTGTCATTTAATTTATGATATGAACCAGTGTTGCTTACTTTTTGTGAGGACCCGACGCAGAAGTAAATTTTCACTTTTTAGTAGCATAAGTGCATCCTAAATGTTTTAGCAGTCCACAAGTAACTCAAGATACTATACAAATTTATATATGGTCTGTAATCCTAATTTTATTTGAATGTTATTGTGAGCACTGGAAGTCTCTTTACCTAGTTAATTTAGGTACTACAATAAGTAAATTAATTTAATCTGGAACTTTGTGTTACTGACAATCCTATATTAGTCAAAATTAGTTGAATTTACAAAGTAAAGAGGCTTATGATGCGAAAAACTGCATAAATTGACGAGTCGCCAAGGTATAACTGAAATGCCATAACATGTTTATACATTTCAACAGGAAAATTTAACCGAAGAAATACAATTTTGAAGAGCACTACTCTTGCAGTTATTCAGATCGTTGGCTAAAATAATCATATTTAATAATAAGAAATGTATCTAGACCATCATGTTTGTCACTAACATTCTAAGTTAAGTATTTTATGGTTAAAATACGGTTGTCTTGCTTATCGGTCTGTGTTGTATGTCGCTAAGTTACAAAATATTTAAACCCTCTGAAACAAAGTGCAACCGTTAGACTTCATTGAATTCATGTATTTCAGCTTTAGGCATTGAATTTAAATAAGTCGGTCAGTTTTCGTTTTTTAGCTCTTATTTCAGTAGTAAGTTTGTCAGTCATTTAGTCGTCTCTCAAACTAATAATCTTTTCTGTAAATGTCCTAGTCAGTTTGGCTTTCCATCCTGGTTCTGCTAGCGTTATAGTGTTTTCGAAAGTGTCAAACCTACTATATTACTGAGTACAATTCTGCAGCTCAGCTGAAAACAGGTCTTCATTATCAATATAAACTCTGCTACAAATATGCATTGACTAAAGTTGCCATACTACATTGAAGTGAGGTGAAATTATCAGAATAAGTAGCATAGGAGTCGGAGTGACATTAATATCAGTAATGGGCAGTAGAACTAAACATTGAGAATGTTCAAAAAGAAGACATGTGCCGAAGAATATACCCCTTAAAATACAAGGGGGAAATAAGAAGTGAACGCTTCTCTACCGATGCGATCGGTTGTAAACCGTATCACATGGCTTTCTCAATTCCTGATTGTATCTGCATCCTCCAGCAGTCGTTGATCTCGTGGATTGATATTACGTGGTGATTTGGTCTCCTACCAACGTCCATCCAACATTCCGAGTCGAAGTATGATGTGGTTGGTTATACATAACGTATATCCCAGCCAATTCGAACCCTAACAGTGTTATTTGGTATGTCTTAAGATTCCTGTAGCATGTGGATCATTTGACAGGCATTTCTTCTACAACCCTACAATCATATTTAAAAGCATACAGGTTTTCGAAAATTGCTTTGTTGGTTTATCGCCTTCACTTTAGCTTCTCAAGTAGTTTTTGTAAGTATTACTGTTTCCGAAATTCACTACGAACACTTGTCCTTTAGCTACCAAGATATACCATTATAATGGATTCCTCAACGGAAAATTGTTAAAGTAAGATTCTGACTCAACTACACTGAACGTAGGTTTCAGTAAACATTGGAAAAAGTAGAATGGCATACGATGTATTTTAAGCTAATTTTGAATCTTGCAGGATGAGGTCACAATAAATTAATTAGGAATGTAATGCTCATGCAGAGAGAAGTCAAATATGGAACTACAAATCTTGAGTTTCCGAGAAAGATGTCTGGGGAATCCTTCGATATCACCAAGGTCAGGTGCAATCACTATCTTCTAGGTTATCCAACAGATCCAATTAGTAGTAGGAGCATCCGTTGTTTACATAACTTCCTAATCTCACGATTCTAGGAAGCACCTATATATATATATATATATATATATATATATATATATATATATATATATTGGTAGGTTAATTTATTGAAATTAATTTACTAATATTTTCATTATCTTGTGTTAAAAGAACTTACGGAATTTTTTTAGTGGTGGTTTTCCACTGTAAATCGTATGAAACCAATTGACTCATGATTTTAACCATTGAAATTACTACAATCCACAAAAACCCATCTGATATGAAACCATAATACTTTAGTATGTTTAACTTTCTCATGTGGTTTGAGAACCAGACTTCTGATAATGAATTAAGCTTACGACCTATAATATAAATTTACTCCAACCATTTAATAACCACTAATCTTTGCACTTCATTTTTACCTGGTGTGTTTGTAGGACAATTATTTAACAAGTTTTCATTATGATAAACATGTAATTGTTAACTAACTAGTTATTCTAAAATTACGTATGTATCTCACTATTCGATGTTTGTCAGTCTCAATGGAGTATTGTTAACTGTGTTTTAAATTATTGTTATATTTTTACATCTAGGACAGGCTAATTCACATCCTCCCTGGTCAAGAAAACACAGAACCTAAGGACTCATTTAGAAAGCCTCTAAACAATTTTTATAGAAATGAGAATTTCGCTGATCCACCAAAGATGCTTCTATCAAGCTTTCAAAACGATCGATTTCAAGAATTGAAAAAGGATTCAAGCATTGGACATAATTGGAATGCTTTATTTATTCGTCCAGATGCTGTTGCTACATATTTAGCTGCGAAATTCGGTTTGACTATGGTAAAAGCTTTATTTTGATGAGTAATAGCTTTCAAATAATTTCTGAACTCTACGGCGATTATCAGAATACAAAGTACTATTCTCAATCAATAAATTCAGTATAAATCTTTCGATTTATTAGTGAATGCTAGTTTGAATTTACCCCTCTACGCCTAAAGTTTTCAGTACTTCTTAACCGTTCACTTATTCATGGTATTGTTATTTATTCAACAGGGAATTAACAATGCTGGATACAAAAGAAAAGATAACTGAAGATTTATTTGACACCAAAAATCTATCGAGAACTATGTATGAATACGCTGATTTTTGTGCGATTTTTCAGATCTATTAATAGTCACATATTGAACAAATTATACGGAGTAGCGCTTGATATTAATTAATAAACAATTTGAGTGTATGAAGACAATTTATAATGTCATAAAATTCAACTGTTGTAATCAACAAATTTAACTAATGTAATGAGCTATTTAATTGTTCTACACTGATTGTAAAGTCCTTTAGGAAATACGAGAAATGTAAAGTGTATAAACGAGCCAGACAGATTAAGAATAGTGATTATTCCATCTTATTGCGTATTTCAAAATCCAATTACTAACAACTTTGAAGTTGTAATGAGCTATGTAACAATTCAACAAAATGTATGAATGTTTTGCTATTTACGTGCTGAAAGCTGACAAACATAACAAGATTAAAGACTAGGAATTGATCTACTCGATTTTTAGAACTGTAGAGGAAGATTTACTGGTTTTTCAGGAGAAAAAACAATACAAACCAATATACCTAAAATACACAACATACAGGATTTTTGAAGTAAACTAAACGTTTTCACTGTGACATCACTTTATTAAAAAACATTAAAGTTTAAGATTGTGCATCGTGAATATTTGTGCAAGTTTTGTTAATCTATGTGGTTATAAAGAGGCAATGTTTTGTAGCTAAACTTATAACCTTAACCCCTTCATCCTAGCTGATGTTAGTTTGGTATGAACACCCTAACTTTTTTTCCTTTACTGTAAGTGGTTATTTGAATGAAAAAGTTGATTACTCATGTCAAAACTCGTGATCTCTTGTAATTTTATCATTTTTTGTTTTAAATTCTTTTATAAATAAAAACTCCCTATTTGACTGACCAAAACATCGCTCAAGGTCGACCATATACTTAACTTCTGTCGAAAATACATTAGTTAATGATTCATTTTCTACAGTTTAGCATTTTTTGAGCCACTTAAACTGGTGATCACATTATGACTTGAGTTCAATCAGCACTAAAGGGCTAAACAAAGGTAGCATTGGTCACAACTCAGCGATCAATCAACTGTAGATATCTCAGTCGAGGTGCTAGTAACTCAGTCGTAACTCTTCCGACTGAAAACTTGGGTGATCCTGATTCGAACTCCACATGGAACATAAGTTCCTTGAGTATTTCAAGAACGCCTTAATGAAGAGTGCGAACTAGCACAAAACGCGGGTTCGGCGTTCCGTGCTGATTATCCCCGAGCACCTAATAAATTTGCATGGCTACTTAATACTTTTCAAGGGATGTAATTTTTGTTATATTCACACTCTGATATTGTAATCCTACTTCTGTGCACATTAATTCCACAAAAGATCACACTTGTCATTCTAAATCAAACACTAACATGAATTTGTTATTTATTCTTTTAAGGAACAAGTTTTAGATCCATCAGGAAATAAGTCAGTTGCTGTACGATTGGCACATGGTGAGACACAGTTAGTTGCTGAAATGAAAGAATTTTTAAAAACTCATGGTGTACGATTGGAAGCTTTCGAAAAGCACAATGATGAGACTGAGGTGAAAGAAACAGAAGATAATTCCGTTGTTGTTCACGAAACATCAGGTCAACGTAGTCGTTTAGAATCAAAGTCAAGATCAACTATTCGTCAATTATCAGGAACTGCATTTTTAATAAAAAATCTACCAGCTGGAACAACTGAGTTTGAAGTTCGAGATTTGCTTAAACGGTATACAAAAAGCTCTGTAACTGTTGATGCTAACACTCCTTCAATTCGTTCCGGATTAAAACGTGTTCTAGTACCCCCTTTAGGCATTACTGCTATTGTAGAATATGCCCATTCTCAACAAGCTCGGTTGATGTACAAAGCACTTGCATATGAACCGGTATGTTATTTTTTAATTAACTTACGCCTTTTATCTCTTTTGGAGAAGCATAGGCCACCCACCAGGATTCTCCATTGAACTCTTTCTTCGACAATCCCTTCCAGTTGTTTCCTCTGTAGTTCTCACACTTGCCGATATCTCCTTTCTTTGTTATCTTGATGAGGTGTCCTTTCCAGTATGTCGGGACTCGTTCCTCCTCCTAAATCTCCCTGAATAGGATGTAGAGCATATTTGCAGTTACTTCTATGTCTGACTCCAGTGCTTGAGTTGGTGCGTTGTTTGGTCCCACTACTTTACTACTGTTGATTTGTCTGTTTCGACTGTTTATAGAGTGATGTATTGGGAGGTTTGTGTGTGCTGTTTCGATATCTGGGGGGGGGTCTCTGGGGCTGGTCTATTCAAGAGTTCTTCAAAGTGCTCTACCCGCTTGTTCCACTGTTCTTGAATCTCTGTGATTAATTGGCCTTCTTTGTTTCTGATTGATCTCTGGTTTACCATATTTCCCTACCAGTTTCTTCGTTGTATCATATATTTGTCTGGAATGTTCTTCTCTTGAATCTTTTTCTACTGTCATTTCTTGATGTCCCACTTATTTCTGCTTGTCGGCTCTAATTCTCCCCATCACTCTATTGTTTTTTTTCTGCGTATGTTGCCTGTGATTTTACTCTATCTGCTCTTGTTTCAGTTGTTGGTAATTGCTGTCTCCTTGTTTTTCCTGTCTTGAAGACTGACCAGAATATCGATAAAGATCCATTCTTTATGAAGGTGTTTCTTGTGGCTCTCAGCATATGTTACTTTGAAATTAGTGCTTCTTTGATACCTTCCCAGTTGTTCCCCATAGTAGCTTCTTCTCTGAGCAGATCTTGTAAGATTTGGAAGCTGTTGATGAAAGCTATTTTGAATTCTTCGAGTTCGTCAGTATCTCAGAAGAAGGCTGTATTGAACCTCTTTAATGTTGTTTCTCTAGTTGTCCGGTGCTTCTCTACCTTCGAGTTCATCTTGGCAACCACCAGATGGTGATCTGAAGTGATGTCAGCTTCTCTTCTGGTTCTCACGTCTTCCATTGACCTACTGGATTTTTTGTTGATGCAAATATTATCAATTTAGTTCTGTGTAGTGTGATCGGGTCAAACACATAGCTTTTTGTATGGGTTTGTGGGGGGAATATAGTGTCACGTATAGCCACTTAGTTCAATCCATTCCCTCATTTGCACAGCTGTTTATTTGGTCCTCCCAGTCTCCTACACTGTCCGGATACTCCGTGTACCTATATGAATTGTTGCTCTGGTTGTTAGAAAGGGCATCGACCTTGTGGCTTCCAAAGAATCACGGATTTCACCATGAGGCTTCATAATTCTTCGAAATGAAGATCTTTCAACTCGGAGGGTAGAGCTTTAATGATTCAAGTAGTTTTTTTCTGTTTAGCGTTTTTTTAGCAAGGTTTTTTTTGCGGGATGCCGTTGCTGATCTTATTTTCAACCCTCTCTGTTTATCTGGGCTTGAAACTCGGAGTAGCCCTAGATGGGCTACAGAGGGAGTTTATATATATATCAGTGGTTATGCATATAAATCGGTTCAGCTCATAAACTTCCTTCTCCATTCTATGTTTTTCACTCGATTCACAGGTGGTTGCTGGCTTGCGTGTAGGAAGTTTGTGTATCAGTATCGATCTCAGACGCTGCGCGTTATTACATTAACCATTTAATTGCAAACTTTCTGGACTACCAAACTTTGCACCACAATACCTGACAGTTACTACCTGAATCTTTTTGCACTAACTAATGTAGTTGAGTCTTTTAAGTACTTTGGTGGCCGATCAGAATTTTTGTAAAGTGAGAAAGTTATTAGTTAGAATAACCCAGGTTGATCAATTCCCCTGTTTTATACAAGTAACGCATTTATCAATTGAAGTTTTAGGTGTGTTATGATGTGTCAAGTCTGATTCAGATACAAACTCTTTCTTCACGCTTGTCCACCTAGTGACAAAAGTGAGAAGACTGAGGAATTGCTATTAGTTTATAACTGACAAAACCGAATGAGTGGGTACACAAATCGTTGATTTATATACATTTGTCCTTACCAAGAAAATAACACAAGCCAAGATCTTGAATGGAAGTTTAATCAATTTCCTATCATAGTGTATCTCATTTATAATTTCCCGACCACTGTTTGGTCCTGAGATGTCATATAAACTCAGGTACATAATATACCTAGATTTACCTAGTCTGCTAGTATACTCAGACGTGAACCACACTGTTTATGTAATGATTAGCAATACTACTACTCAGCAATCCAAAGCAATTTAGGTGGAATTCGAATTTGAACGTGAGACAAATTATTGATTGGAAGTCGATTACTAAACCACTTTTCTTTTATATAGTAGAATTTTTGATAAAGGTCTTGATCTGAATATCGAAGCAGAAAAATATTGATTTAATACTGGATAGTTCATAACATTTACAAAACCCCTTCGTAAGCGACAGTTTTATTGACTTTATTCCGTAGGTAACTTTTTTCACAAAGTCCAGTCATACCGGCTGCTGAAGAATTAGAAGTAAACGTAATGATCACTCATCATTTGGAAGTAATATATTTAAGTTCACATAATAATTTTTTTCTATCAGTTAGATCATTTTCAGTTTTCTGACAGAAGTTATAGAACTTTTAGATAATTCCACGTAAATTTCACTTTATATTCCCCTTTTTAGTTTAGAGATAGTGTTCTGTTTCTACAGTGGTTACCAGATGGGGCTCTGAAATCATCCACTCCTGATGATAATGAATATGAGGAAATAAAATCCGAAGAAGCTTCCACACATAAGCCGAAAAGGACGAAACACGAGAAATCATCTGTTGATAAGGTTAAAAAAATTGAGTGAGTTGTTTTTTGTTGATTGACGTGCTGCATATATAAGATATATAAATGAATTTCTGAACTCAACTTTTTTTCAAGAATCAGTCAAGGTGTTATACTCCCAAATGTCGAATTGCAGGTTCAGTCCTGCCGTCACCTAATTAAGTCTGACAGTAGTAGTAGTACTAACCCTCGTAAAACTGAAGCTTGTCCCGAATCCGTGTACACAAAGCTTCGTATTGAAAATAAGTCAGTTAAATTCGTATCAATTATGTAAGGGGTTTTTGGAAATGATTGAATTTTACAGGTTATATCACGAAGTGACATTAGAAAACTGTCGAAAAATAGAAAGCACTGGCTATCTTTTTGTCCTAGTATGGGCCTCACCAGACACAGTTGTCACCCGCCGGAGATCGAACTCAACACCTTTAGGTCTCGCAGTGAGCGCCTACAAAGTTTGCATCCAGTGACTTACGTTTTTGACTTCAGTTAATTCGTTATACTGCGTATCCATTTTCCGAAACTGTTACATGGTAATTGCTTCACTTTGGAAATGGGTGAACTCCAATAGTCAAGGCATCTTACTAGAGGTCTCTAATGCACTGTGCTGAGGAGTTCCATACTACGACGAAACACCTGTCCAGTGCTTTCTGTTTTTCAGTAGTTGTTTAGCTACGGTCAGTTTATGATTTAAACTACACTGTTATCATTTATTTATTTTTACCAATCGACATCATAATGTTGATTCAGTTTTCCACTTCATTTCCTCATCCTAGGCAATCTGACGATGAATTTGAACTGATCACATCCATTCCAACTGGTAAACGCAAGTTCAGAGATGATCATGATGATGAAGATACAGTAGCAGTTATGGATCACTCATCTCATCATGACAATGAAAACATTTCATATCAAATATCAAAATCTCAACGAGTTAAAAAATATTTAAATAAAAAACAAAAGATTGAACAAATAGCTAACAATAAATCAAGTGAATTGGAACTAATCGACAAATTTATGGGACATAAAAGTAAAAAAGTAAAATTCACTAACGATGTTAACGTTGAATGTGTCAATCAACTACACTCAAATAATGAAAATAGGATAAATAAATGTGATACTACTACTAATATTAACGAACAACACAAAGAGGAAATTAATATTAAAAAATCAATACCATCAAAACAGTTGAAAAAGAATAAAATTTTAATTGTACGTAATATTCCATTTCAAGCTACACAAAAAGAATTGATTGAGTTATTTCAACCTATTGGTGGTCTTGTCAATGTTCGATTACCGAAAAAACCAACTAGCGGACATCGTGGATTTGCATTCGTTGAATTCGACACAATGGACAAAGCAAAAGTTAGTAGATCGGAGGTGGTGGTTGTTAGATTCTCTGGATATCATGAATTAATCTTAGTTCAATATACATTGGGAACGAAGAAGCGGTGAACAGTTGTTTTGTCCTAGGATATGACTACTTAACAGCGCGCATCCACCCATTTCATTGGGAATAGAACCTAGAACCTTCAATCTCTCACGGAAACCCTTAACATCTAGACTACTGAGCCGAGATCCACTAGTTTATATGTCTAACTTCAACCAGTTTAATGTTAGTTAAATAAAACCTAAGAGAAGTAGTAGCAACGCTATGCATGTATCTCAAACTAATGTGTGGGAGTTGTTTAGAATACCTTAGTTCCAAATTTTACTCCAACTATGATTTTCTTCTAGTACGTAGTATTCCTAAAGCGTCATACTTTACTGGATTCGGTCCAATTCAGAACAAGAACTGAGAGCGAACAGTGCTCGCTCCAATAATTCCAAGCAACAAAAGTGCTATAGTAAAAGGGTAGATTTTATATACAATTGAAACAAAAATCTAGCATTTTCTCGATTCGCCTAGTAGCACTGATCAGTGCACTTTGGTTCAAGTCTAATCAGATCTGCAATAGTCAGGGCTCTGTCTTCCTCAGAACTGATATTACTATCATGAAATTGTTAAGTACGAGCGTATAAGTGGAAAACAGAACTACAAAGGTTATTCTATGATGCATTATTGTATGCCGATTACATGTTTGATAAATATTTGGTTTATGATATTTTTATATTGCCCTAATTGTATGCTCTCAGTTAACTGGTTGGTATTTATTTATTTAAACACAAAAATTGGTACAAGGAGGCACCTAATATATATGCGCCACACTTCGTCATTCGATTTGTGTCAGGGCTGGAATACTTCCCTGGCACCCAAATGGAAGCAAGTAGTTTCCTTATAGGACCACACCCTGAACCTTTGACTTAGAGGTCTTATCCACAAGGCAGTGGAGCAACGTTAGGAGATGCAGTCCCATGGTAGTCGGTGACCAACAGTATGTGCATACGCCATCTGTTTCCTTAGGATCCTGGAGCCCATGTTCACCACTGGTTTAGAATCAGGGTTTTCCCATTGTCCTAGGTGGATCCTCCATATCCACTAACCTGGTTAATGTACTGGACATTCGCTTTTCATCCTCTCCCTTTCATAAACAACACCTTGACCACGAGAAGCCAGTGAGTGGGACTGCCCCCAAATGCCCTGGTACGGCCGAGAGTGGGGAGAGTCCGCTTTCCCTCTCGAAATGCTCTCACACGGCCACGCGTATATAGCCTCTGCCAGGGAAGTCCTACTCACTGCCTTCTCGTGGCGGTGTTGTTGTTTACGAAAATGAGAGGACGAAAAGCGAATGTCCGGCGCTTTAACCGGATTCCAAACCAATGGTGCACATGGGCTCCAGTATCCTGCGGGAACAAATGGCGTATGGACCAATTGTTGGTCACCGGCTAGCATGGGACTGCATCTCCTTACGATGCTCCACTGCCTTGTGGATCCGACCTTCAGGTCGAAGGCTCGGGGTGTGGTCCCCTAAGAAAACCACCTGCTTCGGTTTGGGCACCCGGGCAGTATCACAGCCCTCACACATATCGAATGAGATTTGTGTGGCGCATATGTATTTGGTGCCTCTTTGTACCATTATGTATGTGTTGAAATAAATAAGTAAGTAGGACTACTCTGACAGTGGTTGTATACACGTTACCATGTGAGAGCATTTCGAGAGGGAGAGCTGGCTCTCCCACCCTGGGTCGTACCAGGGTATCAGGGGGCAGTGTCAATGTGTTTTGCCACTCACAAAGAGCTGATAAATTATCCCTCTTACTCAGCTTGTATCACGAATGACCCAGTCACGTATAAATTGCTGCTACTTATTTGTAGTGCGTTGTCTTGTAATTGGTGTATGGTATAATGGGAGTTTTTTTAGTCATAATAACATACAGTGAGTAAATCAGTTTATTTTGGTCGTGTCTTGATTGAATACGCTGGGGGAGTAGAGAGTTGTTTCTGTTTATCAGTGCCAACATACTTAATTACCATGTTAATAAAGCTAGGGTCACCAGTATAGTTAGAGTAAAGCGGACTTATCACTAGTGAACACATTCATTTATTAATCTTATTCAATAGCCATATTAAAGTTGAATTTATAACAGAACTAACTTCAACAAGAAGATCCTTAGCAACCAGGTAGCAGCTGTTTCGTCCTATCATGAAACTCCTTGATACGACCAAGCGAAAGGTCAACCTCATGTTCTCCATTAGGTCTTGTAGTAAGTGCGCAGTAAAAGTAAAGTATTCCTCAATGATTAACTTGTTTGTTCATGTGGAACATATTATCAATCAACTAGATTATATTATGATACGATGTCATCTGTTTGTCCCTTTATTTAGATTGCATTGGAGACATTGGGCGTAGCTACGCATTTATTAGGTCGTCGTTTACTCATGGAATATGCACAAACGTAAAAATTATTGCAACATGTAATGGAATTTCTGTTTTTGTAAATAATAATTCATTCAAATGAACTTATTTGTCGGTTACAGAACGTTTATTAAAGCAGAAATACGGTTTTGCTTTTCTCGTTTGTTTATTTTACTGTAACTTGGTGTAATGTATAATGTATGCGGATGAGTTTAAATGTGAAAATACTTCAAAATAACAGTTTCTAATAGTAATCACTGTATTTAGATCAACAACAAGTTTATAAATCGTGTTTAACTCATTATTTTGTTACCTACTGTATATATACTGTAAATAAATACGCAATTTAGTTTGTACGTGAAAAATAACCATACTTTACATAAAAAATCTTAAAAATTTCTACCTCATATCTGATAAACAAATAAATGGACATGTAAACTCTTGGAATTCATTTTTATCCAATTAAAATCAGCACTGGTAAGCAGTGAAACCCAAAAAGCATTAAACAGCTATTTCATCCCAGATTTTTTTGTCGGACTTATCAGTAATGGGCGCTTTTACGCTAAAAATACAATTGAATCCTGAACAACCATGTATGATGAGCTCATCTTACCCAGATCTATCGATGTCAAAATCCGTACGTTCACATCCCCAACACCAGTCAATTCATGATAAATAGAGATAATCACTCAATACTATTAATGAGTAGCTGTCTTATTTCTCTTTCGAGATGATCAAACTCTACCGATCTCACTTTTTCACTACAATTTTGAGAACTGTCCTTCGAGTATCTGGAGACTACACTACTACTTCCTGCGTCCGCGCTGGCGTGGGTATGAGTTCGAGAGCTGGACAGAGTATGTTAGACTGGTTCCCAACAGACAATCGCTTGTGCTTTATCCTAATAAACAGGACTGTGAAAACTCAAAATTATAGGGACTCACCGTTTCCTCTTCGTTGTTTCTGCCTACGTTCCCACTGCAGCTCAATTGAAGTTAAAGATAAATTTTATGGGAAACTATCCAGCCTCCTTCAAAAAGCTGAACTCTCTGATGTAGTGATAGTGGCGTGTAATTTCGGTGTTCGAATAGGTAAACTAAATCAAACTGAAAGGCATTTGGGCGGTTACTACGGTGTTGATGTTCAGCGAACAGATAATGGTGACCGTCTGTTGCAACGATGCTCAAATAATCGTCTATTTCTGGCAAACACCAACTTTAAACATAGGGAGAAACATCGTCTGACGTTGCGACCATCGACTGATCGATGGATTCAAATAGATAACATTGCGTCTAGCCATCATTGGACGGCCTCGCTAAAAGACTGTCTCACTAAGGATCACGTGTGTAGACTCTGACAATGCTCTAGTTCGAGCACATAATTGTTTGCGTCTTACAGGCCATAGAAAAACCACAGCAACGAAACCTCTTAGAAATCAACTTGATGAAAAAGTTGGAAATATATTTCAGGAACTACTAGAGGAGTTACCCGTAGAAGTGATACTTATCCTATGATAGCTTGATACGATATCCAAAAACTTTTGGAAATAGCAGTGATAACAACTACTAACTTGGACCAAAAGGCTAAGAAAAAATCAGCAAATTTCAGCGGCGTCTACAAAACTGATAGGTGCTCGAAAACTCATCTCTCCTGGCTGCTGAACACGACGAGAAGTGGAGACAATTCGAGCGTAGGCTAATAAAAAGCCTACGTAATAATCGTGAGCCTTCAGCCATAGTTCAGTTGCTTATTATCTCGAAGCTACATGAATGGCAAACTGATACACGTCCTCCAACTCTTAGTGAGATTGTAAAGGCTATAAGTAAACTTATGTGAGGGAGAGTAGCACGGCCTGATGGACTAGTCCCTGAGATTTTTGAGGATGGTAGCCCAGTTTTAGCAGTCAGATTAACTGAAATCTTAGTTAAAATCTCTGGACTGGACGTAACCCATCTGACTGGTCTCGATCGCTGATCATCCCAGTTTATAAAACAGAACAAACACCCTTTTACGACAATCACAGAGCAATACGTCCAACTAATATAGTGACTAGAATATTAGCCTCACCAATACTTCGACGTCTAACCAGAGCTCGTGAAGCGCGAACTCAAGAAAACTAGGCTAGTTTCAGACCTCGATGTGAATGTATAGATCAAATATTCACCCTTCGGCAGATTCTGGAAGATAGACATACTTTTCGACGTCCCTCTATGGTTGTATTTCTTGACATTAAAGGTGGTGTTCGACTCCATTGGTCGTGAGGTTCTGTGGCAGTCTGTCATTGAAAGGCATACCAAATAAGTTCATTAACCTTATAAATGCCCTCTACTCGAACACTACTGGTCGAGTCAGAGTGCACAGCGAATGGTCACCGAAACTGGGCACTTCAAGTGGTGTTCATTAGGGTTATCCGCTCTCTCTACTTTTATTTAACTTGGTCATAAATATGCCTTTACAGAGAACACTTTCAGGAATTGATCTTCTACCAGGAGATTAACTTGAATCAGAATACACAGATGATATAGTTCTGTTGATGAAATGCTGACAAAATGAGAACTTGTGACCACCTTAAACAACAATCCAACTATGTTTGGGGTGCGGTTATCTTCCTCCAAATGGAAAATGTTACTTCACACTTGGCTTGCGTCATCACCTGAATTAATGATAGATAGTGAAGTAGCTAAACGCATCGTCTCATCAGTATTGATGGTCTGATATCTGACGAAATCTCGACATGGATTCTGAAGGTTCGATTGGCTTTTGCCAACTTGCGTCACTTGTGGTGCAGGTGAGATATCTATCTTTCAACCAAAGGGCGACTTTACTGAGCAGCAGTTCACTCCGTCCTACTTTCTGGATGTGAAACATGACCATTAAGAATAGCGGATATTCGTAGGTTACTGATATTCAATCGTAGGTGTCTACGAAGCATTGCTCGTGTATTTTGTGACTACAGAGTGAGTAATGTCTGAGTTGGGAATAGAGTACTAGGTACAAGGATGGGAAGTCGATTGATGAGATAGTAGGTATTCATCAGCTGAGGTGGTTTGGATATGTGTTACGTATACTCAACCACCACCTGTCTTGACGAGCGATGATTTTTCTGATACACGAGTAGGCTGGACGAAAGCTAAGGGCGGCCAAACCAAGACATGGCACCAGTCACTGAAGTCATTGACAATTGGACTTAGCCATGTTAGTAGGCATAGACTACCCGGTTGAGGTTCGCGTAACTATCGTGACCAATGGCTAGCGACCTTGAACGACATGGCCGATAATCGTTTGCAGTGGCGCACGCGCAACCATTCTTTGTCTTCCCTCGAATTCTGAGGTTTTTAATTCCTTACACCCTCTCTTTGTTTTTTGCTCCACGAATTTGTATCTTCTTTTCGAAAAGTATCTTCCATCCTAAACTTTTACTATTACCACTGATACTGTGACTACCTGTACTATACTGGAATTTGGCCTGACAACTTTATCTCTCTGTGCTAATGAGGTATGGTAACGTGAACCGATGTACATACACACCAGGTTCTAAGTTGTGGCTGACTGATTGAACGGCTGTCTGTAAAGTTAATAACTAGCAAGCTTATGATTGTGATCAACCTATTGATTTGCGTCAGAATGCGTGGTTGTATGAATAAACCCTAGTTTAGTTTATGCAAACGTTTAATGGTTTGTAGTCATGCATAAATTTTTCTATCTGATTTATTTTATCGTTTGTTTAAAAGCTAGTTTTAATAATAGCCGTTTTACTTGGAATATGGCTCACAGCTCAATACACGAATTTATACCTGATAAATGAGCTGAACGTAATGAAAAAATATGGTAAGTGAATTTCATCGCTGATCAACTCGTATAATTAGTGCTGCCTTTTACATAGCCTTTTGAAGTATAAAAGTCTTTCTTGTAACCATTTAGAATACACCTGTGAAGATTCAAGTTAGTAAGGTCGCTCAATTCAGAAACTACATACTACTACTACTACTACTACTACTACTACTACTACCAAATTATGCCCCACTGATAAATAAGTAACGTTATCTTCTTTCTAACAATCTTCTATAATTATGTAAATATTCCACACAACTATAAATCATACAAACTATTTCAGAGTTATAAATATTATTTGGCTGCAAAATCACTTATGGTCTAATGTTCAAATTAATAGTTCTCACACCATAACACGTCTTGTAGTTTTAAACACAAACTATCAAACTTTTGAAGAAAATTCAACTCAGTGTATATAATAGAAATGGTTTATTACAGCTTCTAAGAAAAACAAAATGGTGGTTTTTTTTGTTTCTTCTTCTTCTTCTTCTTTACATCATTAATCAAAATATCATAGAATCAGTTGGAGTAATCCAAGTAGGTTTTTTTTCTATGTAAATTCAATGAAATAACAATATTATCATTTACATTTAATGTTAAAACTATCCCTCGAACAAATCTTATATTTTTTTTATGACTTAAGTTAAAAATAAACGTGTTTCAGAAATGCATAGTATATTTATGTATGTTATACAGACTAATTGATTTAGATATTAAATCTAGTCAACATATAATATACTCATGTAATAGTAAATGTTATTTTACCTTTATCATTCATTCATTTATCTATAATATTCCAATAACAATAAAAGATTGTCTTGGTGAAAATCTATATTTATAAATTTCACTTATGACTTATGGATAACTTTTTTTCTTTCTGCTCACTTTTTCACTATTTTATTTAAACCAATTGAAATTTCATATGTTGGAGGTGGTGTATCCGATCTCTGATTAAATGTTGTTAATGATAATGGTAATGAATGATTCAAGTTGTCATGGTTATGAGTATCATAATTATCAACACAATATTGATTATTATTATTATTATGATTGTTATCATTGGAATTGTGTTTATTTGGATCTTCTTTTAATACTAAATTAAATTGTTTCTTTAAACAATATTTATCAATATTATTAGATTTTAGTAATGAATTCAATTTAGTATTTTGATTAAAATGTAAATTTCTATTTATATAACATTGAGGTGTTTTAATAAAAGAGAAATTTATTTGATTCTGATCAATTTCATGTGAATTCTTTTCAATATTCATATAAATAGGATCTGAAATTGATTTATTTACATAAAGAAGATAAGGCCAATCTGTAATTGGTTTTTTATATTGTATTGGATAAACAAATTGTTGATTAGATAATGTACTATGGTGATAATTAGATTTTATTGTTTTAATACTATTTGAATGATTAATTATTTTTGATAGATTTGTATTTATCATTTGACAAGTAGAAATATTTTTAGATTTTTTCATTTTTTTATGTTTATCACTTGTACAAAAAAATAGAATTACTCCACTTAATGAAAGTATCATTATAAGGAAAGCTATTGTTAATATAATAAATAATATTAAAAATTCATTATTATGATGATTTAGTCGATT